TGGAACGACATGAGGGTGAGTAATTAATGACAGAATTTTCATTTTTGGGTTAACTAACCCTTTAAGACCGGCTCTTACAAAAAATACATTTAACAATATTTAGTGATTTTATATTTGGAATTCTATACACATTTTTCCTCCACCCCATTTAGTGTCAAAAACTAAATTTAGATGCAAACGAGCAATATTTCACCTCTATTACACTATTTAATTGTATTGTAGTTGTATTTTCCCCACTAAATAGACTTTTCAACTAAATGGAGATGAACCACTATTATAGATGAACTATTACATGGGGAAGTCGTGGCCTAATGGTTAGAGTCGGACTCGTAACCCAAAGGCATACTTGGCCACGTCACTCACTTACTACAAATAGTTTTAAATGTTGCAATGAATTTATGCATTAAGTACAAAAAACAAAATTGTTTTAAGATTGGCTGTTAAAAAGAACGCATTTAAAAGCATCATATTATATATATATATATATATATATATATATACAGTGGGTACGGAAAGTATTCAGACCCCCTGGCCAGATCTGTGCCTTGCCAGAATTTTGTCTCTGAGCTCTTCAGGCAGTTCCTTTGACCTCATGATTCTCATTTGCTCTGACATGCACTGTGAGCTGTAAGGTCTTATATAGACAGGTGTGTGGCTTTCCTAATCAAGTCCAATCAGTATAATCAAACACAGCTGGACTCAAATGAAGGTGTAGAACCATCTCAAGGATGATCAGAAGAAATGGACAGCACCTGAGTTAAATATATGAGTGTCACAGCAAAGGGTCTGAATACTTAGGACCATGTGATATTTCAGTTTTTCTTTTTTAATAAATCTGCAAAAATGTCAACAATTCTGTGTTTTTCTGTCAATATGGGGTGCTGTGTGTACATTAATGAGGAAAAAAAATTAACTTAAATGATTTTAGCAAATGGCTGCAATATAACAAAGAGTGAAAAATTTAAGGGGGTCTGAATACTTTCCGTACCCACTGTATATATATAATTTGTTATAAATATTGGCCGCTAAAAGATGTATAAAAAATTAGACATTTGTTGCACAATACGTTGTTTTTTAATTGAAATATTATAAAACGTCTTTTTTGCTCTACAAAAAGAATGTTCTGTTTCATACAACCGTTTCATGAAAAACAAAGTCTATCCAGAAATGTTTCAACTCATTTAGCTGCAACTGCTTTAGGCATATATAAAAAACAGGACGCCATCACATATCAAGGGCGGCTCAGGAGACGACACAACGTAACTGAAATTCAGGGACAACAGGTAATGCTTGCTTTGTGAGGACAGAATGGCAGCTTTTTAGAAAAAGAACCTAAAAAACAGAAAATCAGTCACTTCCCTAACGTCTCCTCTTCCAGGAAACCAGCATATCCACGTTCTGAGGAAGTCTCCTCCATTAGGGCTAATCGATTTGAGTCAGGAACAGTGTTAGTTCAGCTCAGGTCCCTGTTTGCCTGTTCTGTCCTGTAGGACTGTTGTTGTGATCAGGGACAGAGGGACACGTGACCAGTGTCTCAGAGTTCAGCTCTAGGCCACAGTGACGAATCGGCCTCCTTTGCTGCTCTGCTGTGCTACTGCCACACGTTGGTCCTTCAGGATGCGGAACCGCTCGTTGAGGGTCATGCCGGTCTGATGTAGAAAAGAACAACAATGAAGATGGCCATCGGGTTTATCACAACTGATGTAAAAGTGTTTCTAGTGGCTGATCTGGAACAGATTGCTTTTTCTTCAAGCAGGAAAGCAAAACACAGGTTAAAGTTCAATACTTGGTGAAATAGTTCATATTTTAAGCATTTTGAGTTGATGTAAATGTAGTCAATGATTCGAACTAGAGAACCGGATCAGTCTTATTCAACATTGAATCAGTCAGGTCTGTTTTGTAGATTCAAACAAATTGATAAAAGTGATTGAGATCAACTGTCAATCAAATCAGACATTGTTGCATGAAAACGTAAGGTATTTTATTTAGTGATGCACTGGTATTTCGGCAACCAAAAATTCAGTATAAAAAGAATTTTCGGTTTTAGCCAAAAAAAAAAAAATAAAGTACTAATATATATATATATATATATAGATATGATTTTTATAATGACACTGTGGCATTTAATTAGCATTTCTCCAATGGCTCGCTTTGTTTCAGCATTTATTTTGTGCTTAATTTCATAATTAATTAAATTGAAAACAGTTGTGCTGCTTCATATTTTTGTGGAAAGCATGATACACTTTTTCAGGATTCTTTGATGAATAGAAAGCTCAAAAGAACAACTTTTATTTGAAACAGAAAACTTTTGTAACATTATAAATGTCTTTACCGTCTCATTTGATCAATTTAATGCATCCTTGCTGAATAAAAATGTTAACCTTTTTTTTCTTCTTTTTTTTTTACTCTAACGCCAATAATAAATAGTGTATCATGGTTTTCACACAAATATGAAGTAGCACAGCTGTTTTCAACATTGATAATTATCATAAATGTTTGGATCATGTGACACTGAAGACTGGAGTAATGCTGCTGAAAATTCAGCTTTGCATCACAGAAATAAATTACATTTTAAAATATATTCCAATAGAAAATAGTGATTTTAAATAGTAACAATATTTCACAATATTACTGTTTGTAATGCAGCCTTGATAAGACACTCCTATCAAAAACATAAAAAATTGTGATTAGGGTGTTGATTATTAAATAATTTGACTAATAGACTATTAAATAAACTTAGTTTTTGGTTATGGTTTTTGGCTAAATTAAATCTTTAATTTTGGTTCCTGTGTTCTGGTAAAAAAAAAAAAAAATGCATTACTGAATTATGCAAAAAAAAAAAACATTACTGCAGGTTAATTTAAGATATAACTATTTTACAGTGTACTTGTTACACATTACATGTACTTCCTATAGTAATAACAAATTATGCAACTAACCATAAACAAACCCTTATCCTAACCATATAGTAAGTACATGTAGTTATTTACTCAGTACTTAAACGTGTAATTACACTGTAATAAGGACACCATAACATAGTGAATCCTAATTTAATATAAACACTATATTTCATTGACTCAAGGATAAATAGAATTGTGATTTGTCCTACCTGCTTGCCAACACTGTTGATATCAAACTGCAGGGCGACACCTTTAGGAGGCTTCCTCTCCGGCTCCTCTTGAGCAGGTGAGGAGCGTGCTGGAGTCTCGGGGTGCAGGGACCAGGACTGAGCAGGCCTGTACGGGGCAAAAGAAAACCCCATTAGGTCTGTGTTCCCAAACTCACATTCACAACATGCTAGAAAGAGTCTCAAAGGTCAAACTAAAATAACAAGACAGAAACAAATGAATGTGAAAAATGCTTTCAAAATATGTGGAGCTTGTTAGAGAGAATCTTATCTGAACATCTTTAAAAGAATCATTTAAAACACAAAAACAAACAAACAATTACAAATTAAAATATCTGAATGGCAACCATTGTATGCATTATGAAATTATGCATCTGGCTTTAATGAAGCGTAATCATACTCGGGCTGTGTTCTAGCTGTGGGGTTGTCTATTGACACAGTGAGGATGCCACTGTTGTTTGTAGGAGTGCGCCACCTGGTGGAAAAGAGGAGAGAAATTCGGAACAGTAACAAACTTACAGTACATCTACACTACTGCTCAAATGTATGGCATACAGAAGACTTAATGCATTCTTGCTGAATAAAAGTAATTCATTAATTTTTTTAAAATCTTTATGATCCCAAACTTTTGAATGGTAGTGTAGTAATTTAACTCAAATATCATTTAAAAATAAAAATAAAAAAATAAAAATTTGAAGAATGGGGTTTACTTACAAGCGAGTTCTCTGTGTGGGCTGAGCAGAGCTTGTCTTCTGAACTTGTGCATGAACCTATTTGAAAAAAAACCCAAAAACTTGAAGTTATTGAAAACCATTCCTGCTTTATTCTTAACTACCATTTGACGAGACCTTGATTCAGTGCGTTTATTCAGTGAAGGATATGTCAGATTATTTTTGAAATAGCTGAATTAAACTGGGTTTCATTCTTTTTTGTGCGATTCATTAAAAGAACTGGCTCACAAGAGTAGTGCACTAACCAGTAACAGATTTCTGACATGCAAATTCTAGGGATAAAACATGCAAGGCTCACAAAATCGCTAGCCCGACGAAAATGTATCACCGCCCTGCCCGACGGGCTATTTTAAATACAGGGTTCTCGCTGGTCCTTAAGTCTTCAATTTAGTTGTATCAAATTTAAGGCCTTAAAAAGCCTTAAATGGTATAAGAAAAGTCTTAATTATAATTTCAAGAGGTCTTAAATTTGGGGACGGAAAGACGAGAATCGTCATATGGTATGACTAATGGTAAGACTGAACTTCAAAAGGCTGATTTCATCATGAGTGCTGCACGTTTTCAAAGTCAAAACATGGCGCAAGTGTTTTTATGTGAATGAATCGAAGAAAAGTTTTGATGTCATTTTCATTTCATCTTTCCTATAAGGCCTAATAAAGCAGTGTTTATGAGCGCAGTGCTGCTTTGTGTACAGCCATTACCAGGAAACCCCTATATTCGAGAAGGGTCCGTCTGCATCCCGCAGTACTACAAACCACGCCCCTCCAAGTTACGCCTACTACTACAAGTTACGAGTCCTGCATAGAAACAAGCGTGGATGTTATTGACTAAAACAGTAAATTCTTTTGTTTTATGTATGAAATGTTTGCAAGGCTACTTGTATTACTTTCAAATTGCGAAATTTATGAAGTGTGAAATAACAGCTAGTAGTAAAACATAAAATAAATATAATCAAATTGATACAGACATATGGTAATTATGCCCCTTACGTCGGCTCCGATGGCCTCGTGGGCGTCCCAAGTTCGAGTCCCGGCTAGTGGACCTTTCCCGATCCCACCCCCCTCTCTCTCTCACCCACTTCGCTTCCTGTCGACCTACTGTCCTATCTAAATAAAAGATAGGAAATAAATCTTAAAAAAAAAAAAAGATTATGCCCCTTACATAAAATTAATTTACTGTCGAGTTTCATAATTCAAATACTTTTAGAAACTGAGGAAAAGACACAGGATGACTTACGGTGTCTGGTGAGCTATGTAATACAATCTGTATGCCTCATCGCTAGGTGGCGATAGTGAAGCGTAAAAAGCGAGGAAAGTGAAGCAGAAGAAGAACGGTACGACATCAGCGATTCCCTAATTGGCTGTGTCGCTGTAGGGGGTGTAACCTGTAGTAGTAGGCGTAACTTGGAGGGGCATGGTTTGAACTACTGTGGGATGCAATCGGATACACTTGCTATATTCTGCTGCTCCAAAAGCGCCATCTACTGACAGAGAATTCATTTGCACCTTCAATAAGCCTTTCTGCTGTGTGTTCAGACCAATGCGAAAATCGACCCATGTTTTTATGCAGCAAACACGCAGAGTTGTAAATGTGAAAGCAAATGTGCCTTCTAAAAATCTAAACAATTAAGACAAGTATGATCTATGTTTACATGTTTAAATTAATATGATAATCTATTATATTGATTTAAATGTGACATTTATCATTTTATAAGACTTTGTGTTTTTGTGAAAACCTGTTTCTGAACTGTAAATCATGTCATTTTATGGTTTAATACAGGGGAGTCAAACTCAATTGCTGGAGGGCCGGAGTCCTGCAGAGTTTAGATTTAACCCTAATTAAACACACCTGGGGGTTGTTTCATAAAAGACGCTAAGAAAAGCAGGGATTAAATTACAACATCTGACTTGAAATAACCTAACAAATCAATCGGGGCTAAAGCGGTTCCATAAACAACTATTTTAAGTTCACACAATCTCATTAATTTGATCCAGGTTCAACGAGTCAAGAACATTTGATGTGCATGCTTATAAGCAGTCGATCATGGATCAAATCGATCCACCATGGCAAACGGCAAATATATTTGTGCTGTTTAATGCATTTGAGATGCGTTTTCCTCAGTGCATAACTGACATGTGACAGTTATATTCTTCATCTGTAAATGTTAAAAAGTCATGCAAATATATCCATGTTGCTGTCAGGAGTGGGCGAGGCTTACGCGAGTGAACGCATGTGCACTAAACAGACGGAGCGCAGTAGAAAAGGAGCGCAATAATTCTGAGTAAAGTACACATTTTGCTAAAACATTTGTTGTTGGACACTGTGACATGTACAATTTTAAACCTACATATATAAGTGTATTCTTACGATAGCAGTAACTAAATCAAATGTAAGCTAGCTAATACAGCCCTACTAGCTCAAATGAGTTAATATTCCTCTTATCAGTTAAAATATAGTCTGTTTTCTATTATTTATTTTCATTTTTAATTTAATGATTTTAACTTTTTTGTTGTTTTTAATGCTTTAAAGAGCAATTTTATATTGTAATGTTTAAATGTTCTACTAATAACCATAAAGTACAGCTGTCATAAAACCAGAGCGAAAGGCTGCATGGCTAAAAACTGCTGATCAAATGAATGCGCATGTGGCAACAATGTTAACATTTTTTCATATATCTAAAAAAAAAAAAGTCATTAAATCTTGGACACAATATATTAAATACAGTCAGTTGTAGCCTATATTTTTATTAATTTGATTGATTTAAGTTGCATTTTCTGTAAAATTTCATTTTTTCATGCTAACAGCTTCTGTGCTTCACACATCTGTGTGTGAACTCTAGCTTCTTACTTTGAGTCCTCTTCTGGAGAGAAAGGTGGCCTGACGTGCTTCTCTCTGTGTTTGCTGAGCAGTCGGAGCATTCCTGTAGAGAACAGATGAACAACAAAAGGCAAACATTTTCACAGAGACAACTTCAAAAAATAAAAACAAACGAATAAATAAAATAAAATGAAGAAATGACGTCATCACGATGTCACCATTTATAATGTTACAAAAGATTTCCATTTCAAATAAATGCTGTTCTTTTTAACTTTCTCTTTATCAAAGAACCCTGAAAAAAATTATCATAGTCTCCACAAAAATATTAAGCTGTACAACTATTTTCAACATTGATAATAATAATAATAATAATAATAAGAAGAAGAAGAAATGTTTGAGCAGCAAATCAGTATATTAGAATGATTTCTGAAGGATAATGTGACACTGAAGACTGGAGTAATGATGCTGAAAATACAGCTTTGCGTCACAGGAATAAATTACATTTTAATATATATTAAAACAATTATTTTAAATTGTAATATTTCAACATTACTCTTTTAATGTTTTCAAGGCTGCCTTTAATTTGAAAATTTAAACTGACTAACCTAAAACCTGAATTGTAGAGTACATCATTTTGAATTTTTGGCAAACTCATGCTTTCACTTGGACTTGAGCTGTGGCTTCTTTTGCACCACGTTTTTCATGTGTACTTTCATAAGGCACTGCACATAGCAACCAATCTCACTTTATCTTAATATTTTAAAAAGTTGTATGTGTGTGTGTATATATATACATATATCGTATTGGCCCGAATATAAGACGACCCTGATTATAAGACAACCCCCCTTTTCCCAGATGTACCTTTTGGAAAAAGGCTTTTTAAAAACCAAATCTTGTTTTTTCTCAGTAAAACACATTTTGTCTTCAATTATTTTCATATTGCATATTTTTCCTATTTTAATTTTTGTTTTGAAAGTATGGTAAAAACTGGTAAAATGTACCAACAATCACATTTAAAAAATATACACTTTTTGATATACCATTCAAAACCAAAAAAAAAGCAGGTAGCCCATCTGAATTAGGACATTTAGGCTATCCATCTAATAGTAGCCTACCAAAATCTTATTAACAGTAGAAGTTAAATCTTACTGTAGTCTTCAAATCTGGGTACTGTCTTACGTTTTAAAATCAAGAAAAAAACATCGTCTTATATTCGGGTCAATACGATAATACAACAAAAAAGCAATCATACCATTTTCTGCGAAGCCGAAAGGGTCTGTAAGAAACTGAGCCCTGAGGTTTCTGAGAGTCCATCTGTCTGTTTGGTCTCCTCTGGATCTGCATCTGTCGTCGCTGGATAAATGGCTGAGATCTCTGAGACAAGTGATAGCACGCATATAAAAAGCTGAATTCGTTCACACGCATGCGACAACAAAATCACCTTTTAAGTATCATAATCGCCCTTCTATGCAAGATTAGTTTCCACACCTGGTTCACAGCTGCACTGTTGGGCATCGGTCGGTTCGGAGCGGGTCTGTTCTGGGCCGGTCGGTTGAGTGGACTGATCCCTTTAAGCAGGGCGGCATTTTTTCTTGCAGCTAAACCAGTGATGACCCCCTGCCCACGACGCCTGGCCACCGTGGGAGGAAGCTTGCGGTTTCGAGTGAAGCTTTTGCTCACAACACCTCCTACAGATGGCCAAAACAAAACCAGTTGCAGAAACTCATCAGACATGGCTGATTTGCATACAATGAAACACTGAATTCATTATAAAACTGTGAATTTATTGTTATATTGTGGCTGTTGGTCAATTTTTTTTGTGTTCTCACAGAAACATCAAATTATTAAAGGGGGAAACATCAACTTTGATGGACTCTGCACAAAATGAACGTGACAAAAAGAAGAAAACGTCACATTCTGACCTCTTTTAGGTGGCATTCCTGCTCTTGGCCCAGTTTTCTTCCCTTGGGTGAAGCGACCTTTCACCGGAAGTCTGTGCTTTGACTTCTGGGCCTGGAATTGATTCTGCTTCTTATTCAGCCGGATAATATCATCTATAAAATAAGAATGCAATAAATCTGGTCCAATTAATCTATACTGGTCACCTCACACAAAGTGATGTGTTGTTCAATTAAACACAAAAAATATCATTAAGCACATCAAACAAAAAACATTTAAGAAAAATGAACTTGAATTCAATAAAACTCCTGAAATGTTCATTGAAAACACGTTAATTAGCATTCTGCTTAAATAAATAATATTCGGGAAATAAGTGATACTCAGGAAACGCAGTAAAGATATCACTTTAAACGCGTTTACCAATCAATAAAATATATACATGTAACGACACAAAGCGATTGCTGCAATGTTTACATCGAATCAAACTATGACAAATAGCATGTAAAATGTCAGAATGCTAATCAGCTAACGTTCAACACATTCGGCTAGTTTTATCTGTGGCGTTACCTAAAGACATGTCAACCTTATCGAGTCCATCTGTACTTCCACCGCCAACCGATTTAAAACTCGATTTGCTCATTTTGCAGTTCGCGCTGTGTTAGAAAGTAAGAAGCAAAGGTCTAACAACTCAAACAAATAAGATAACACTAGCAAACTAGCCAGCTTTCGTTGAGCGCTCACAGCGTCTGCGCATGCGCTCATTTACGCACTTCGCGCTGAGGCTCCTGGGAAATGTAGTTTCAAGAAACGAATTTACTCAGATTTTGCACCAATCGTAAAATTCAGCAATACTTTCGACATATAACAATTACGTCCAGGTTGTTTTCTACGAGCTTGTACATCATATACAGCAGAAGAGCGCTACTCCGTGCCATCAGCGACCCAAACACACTTCTACATTACAGCAGTAGGCCTATGTCTGCAAACAAGCGCAACCTGAAGCGCCAGAGAGAGTCACCGGACAGCGCCGGTGGGAAACAGCCGAAGCTAGCTGGAGGAAGAGCGAGAGAGTCCGGCTGGCTGCTGAAGGAAGTGACGAGCAGCGCAGAGCAGCGCAGGGATGCGAGTGTAACCCCTCTCCCCCGGGTCCTCACCGCCACACCTCGTTCTCGTTTAGTTTAAAAGAAGTATACGAATAGCACACTTGAATAAACGTCTTTTTCGTAAGGGTCAGCCAATGTGTTATTATAGGAAATAATTAGAAACATTTGCTTATATTCTCCTGGGACCCAGGCATAGACTTCTGTCCTCTATAGAGGACATTATATTTTAGTGAATTTCTCTGAGACCCTACATGCCACAGTTTGTACAGAGCACATTCAGAGCTTTTTAGAGATATCAAATGTTTGGAGGTTTGATCATAAACACTCCCTCTCCTTGGTCTTTAAATATGACTGATATTTGACAGAATTATCAAATTTAGCACTCTTAGGGAAATATGCTAAAGTTCTGAAATTATCATTTAAATCGGACTAATTTTCAAATTGTTTGTTGTAAATAAACATCTCAGAAAAACGTTATGGGGTTTCAAATTGGAATTAGTTTTTTTGTTACGAAGCAGGGCATAATTTTCATACATGTCTTCTGTAGAGGACAGCAGGACAAACATCATGTTAATCAGGCATTTTGGGGAGAAACAACAAGTAAATAGGGAAAGAAATTATAGATCAATATTCCTATGAAATATGATATAATCTTATGAAAATGTTGCCAAGTTATTACACCCATTATTACACTTCTTTTTCATTATGGTTTGTCCTAAGAACACATTAATATGCAAATTAGATGCAATGTATAAATGCATTGTATAGAATGGGGATACCAGTTTATGGACATTTTACGCACATATTCCATAAAGTAAAATAGTATATCAAATCATTCTGTTATATCTTTCATAACATAGTTGAGAATCATCTTTGTACAAAGTTTGGCTAAAATAGCCTGAAACCTAAAAACTGTTTGGTGAATAAAAAACCCCAAAAACATTGTTTTTGCTTATGCATGCCTTTTCATTACCTTTTTATTTTTTTAATAACTTTTACCAATTTGATGTAATTCCCAAAACGTTTTTTTTTTTCTGGTTCTCAGGAGGATATAGTTGTTATAGGACAAAACTGTAAAATTACTTTTTAAAAAAAACTTTTTTTATTAATATTTATATATATATTTAAAGTGTCATTAATGTAAAATACTAAATCAACTATTCTACATAAAAATGAATTTTGACAGTTTAGTTGAATGGTTGAATAACATCAGACAAAGCAGAAACACAGTACAAGAGATTCATCTGAAAGGTACATTTATTCCTTGACTTATATACAGGCATATAAATAATATTTTAATTGAACACTATGAATTAAATTGAATGATTTCAATTAATCATCCTATGGGTTTTGATAGGTTTAAAAGTGAAGATGTCTGAAATCTAATTCATGGAAATACTGAATAATAACCCTATTAATTACAATAAGTATTGAATTTAAAAATAATAACACTAGAACACCTTACTGTGCTTTTTGATCAATTGAATGAATCCTTGCTGAATACAAGTATTCATTTCTTTAAAAAAAAAAGTCTTGCTGACAACAGACTTTTGAATGGTAGTGTGCATTGGTGCTGTTTGTGTTCCAGATAACTGGGCTCTGATCTACGCTCAGCAGCTGGCCTTGGCTGAGAAACTTCCTCTTCTTCTGCTTCTGCTTGGCGCCTCGATATTTGGATGCGACCTACAGACAGTACGCCTTTATGCTAAAAGGACTGCGAGAAGTGGCAAAGGTACAGAAATTTTACATCTCGACTTAAATTAGAGACATCATTGTGTCCGTCATGGAGTGTTTGATGTGTCTCCTGCACACAAACAAACCAGCTTTTGCTAATTATTAGTTAGACTGAGCTACAGAATTAGACCAAACCAGTGATTTTGATTGTCTGGGGCTGCACTGCAGGGACATTTAATGTGTGATATTTTAATAAAATGTCTCTTGTTACAGGAATGCAACAGCTTGGATATTAAGTTCCATCTGCTGTCAGGAGAACCTGGACAGAATCTGGCAAGCTTTGTTAAGAAGTGGAAGTTTGGAGCAGTTGTCACTGACTTTAACCCTCTCAGAATCCCTCTCCAGTGGATTGAGACTGTTAAGAAACACCTTCCGGCTGACGTCCCCTTCATTCAGGTGTGTTAGTCATTATTTGTCTGTGCACTTGCTCAGTTCTTCTTGCATGTCATGTCATCACTATTGTAGTGCTCATTTCTGACAGTGTGTATTGATTTGAAACCGTGTTACATTTTCCTGCCGCTCTGAATCAAGGTTGATGCACATAACGTGGTGCCTTGCTGGGAAGCGTCTGAGAATCTGGAATATGGAGCCAGGACTATACGGGGCAAAATCACTAAACTTCTGCCAGAATTCCTCTCGGAGATTCCTCTTGTGAACACTCACCCACACTCCGCTTCTCGTGCAGCAGAGGTTTGATCAAGGATTTTACAGTAGTTGTTTTTTCCCATTATTTATATGGATATCCTATTTTTTCCAACCTGAAGCATGCCCCACATTTATTGTGTAAATCCGATGAAAAATGGCTGCGTTTTCAAATATATTTAAAATGCATGTATTTAATACATTTAACAGGCTTTCCACTGGTCTTAAAAAAGTCTTAAAGGGGCCATATGATGTTATTTTAAAGATCATTATTTTGTGTATTTGGTGTAACAGAATATGTTGAATGCGCACATACTACATTAGATGATGAAATCTAGCAGGTTAGACTAGTGCGCGTGCGCATTTATATTGCATTCTTTCACTGCATGAATCAGTCTATTAAAATGCATTTAGAATTATCACATAATTCAAGATATGGGGCAGAAAACGCAGGTTAAAGTATTTAATGCCCCTCAGAGCTGCATTAAACAGTGTGTAAATGCATCTAAATGACACTTCTAATGCAGCTTCTGTGTTTCCTCTGCATTCCAAAGATCAATTTTGTTGATACTGATTTCATTTGCTTGGTAACAGCCCAAATGCAAGAATTTGACTCAAAAGATGGTGCACACTTTTAGAAAAAAATGGCTTAAAGGTAAAAATGCCCCATAAAACTTGTTGGAAATGATTAATTTCTATCACCGCTGTGAACTGACCACACAGAATATGAAGAATATCAAAAAAATTCAGGAGTCAGCTGTCAGCACAATTAGAATTGCCCTACCCCGCTCATAGGGTATTAATTTTATTTGTGTAGGTCTTAAAAGGGTCTTAAATTTGAGCTTAAAAATCCTGCAGAAACCCTGATTTAAAATACAGAATAAAATAATAAAATGTAATAATAATAATATTTGTTATTTATGGTTAATAATTATTATAATGAATGAAATAGCTATTTATAATAATTGTAACAATAATAACAACAATAAAGATATATATTTTAAATATATATTTTTGTAATATTTGTGACCCTGGAGCACAAAAGCAGTCTCAAGTCGCTGGGGTATATTTGTAGCAATAGCCAAAAATACATTGTATGGGTCAAAATGATCGATTTTTCTTTTATGACAAAAATAATTTGGATATTAAGTAAAGATCATGTTCCATGAATATATTTTGTAAATGTACTACCGTAAATATATCAAAACTTCAGTTTTGATTAGTAATATGCATTGCTAAGAACTTCATTTGAACAACTTTAAAGGCGATTTTCTCAATATTTAGATTTTTTTGCAACCTCAGATTCCAGATTTTCAAATAGTTGTATCTCAGCCAAATATTGTCATAACAAACCATACATCAATGGAAAGCTTGTTTATTCAGCGTTCAGATGATGCATAAATCTCAATTTCGAAAAATTGACACTTACGACTGGTTTTGTGCTCCAGGGTCACATTTGTTATTATTATTATTTAATACTCTTTTTATTTGTTGTATAGTCATATTGAATGTAGGGGGGAAAAACAGGTTTTTCTTCTTTTTTATCCTTAGCTGATCACGACTTGCCTGTTGTAATCTATGAAGTACATTTGCTGTTTGTTTGTTTTTTATTATTATTATTATTGTTTGCATTCTCAAATGCATTATGACTTTAAACCCTGGATCTACATAATGGGATGTTTTCCCATCTTCTTCATTTTGAAATCTCTCTGTCTTTCAGCCAGTAGATTGGGAGGAGGTGCTGTCGTCTCTTGAGGTGGACCGCAGTGTTGGAGAGGTGGACTGGGCTCAGCCTGGCTCCTGTGGTGGCATGGCCATGCTGGAGTCCTTCATTGAGCAACGACTGCGTCTCTTTGCCACTCAGAGGAACAATCCCAACTGTGACGCCCTCAGCCATCTCTCCCCCTGGATCCACACTGGTCAGTTTGCACTCTGGCTAAGTTGGGTTTTTGTTGTTGTTGTTCATGCAATAAAAATAAATGGGGTTCAAAACATCATTGTTGTATTGACAAAAAAAATCTTTTGTGATCTACTAAAGAAAGAAAGTCCTGCAGGTTTAGAACAACATTACACCATCCTTTTTCGTATAGATGTAGTTTAGAGCTCGTAATAGTTGATATGTTTTCTCTTGAAGGTCAGTTGTCTGTTCAGCGTGTCGTGAAGCAGGTCAAACGAGAAAAGAATGCCAGCGAGTCCGTGGCATCTTTTATTGAGGAACTGGTGGTGCGCAGGGAGCTCGCTGACAACTTCTGCTTCTACAACCATAACTATGACAACATTTCAGGTGAGCG